TTCCTTCTTCCAAATCAACAACATCTTCAAACCCCACATTCTATTGTTCTGAAGGAATAGGCCCAGCAGTTGGAGTCCATGTAGTTTCACCAGTGACTACTATTCTGTCAAACATTTGCTGCAAATCCATTGTGTTTTTTAATCCATGATGCTCAAATTTACCATATTACTTGTTCTCCTATAATAAATATAACATATTAGAAGTTTAAAGTTAAAATTAACAAAGTCACATGCAAAAAACTAAAATCCATTAACAATAAAAGAATACAATTAACCGCTTTCAATTCAGCCCATTGTTGAGGAGTAGCATCAATTGTGCTTTTTTCATGATTCCACCCTAATCTTGTTTCTCACTTTAAGAGTTAATTCCACAAAACCCAATCACTTTTTAATGCATCCCACCGATTTCTTAGTTGTTTATAAATATAATCCTTGTTTGTTCTTTCATTAAATTTTGTTTCCACATTTGTCCACCTTAATCTATTAAAAGTACTATTAGAACGATTACTGACATTGACCTCTTCCACACATATCTCGCAGAAAATTTTTGTTGTAAATGCATCCCACACTACCTTTGACCTTTTTTCAGCCATCTTATATATTGAAATAATTTTGACCTTAAAACAAGATCTACAAACACATAGAAACAAATGTTGAATAATGGAAGTATGGATACACATAATAACACCAAAAATAGAATGCTAAAACTAGGAAGAATTATAAAATAGTCTTTTATAGGTGTAAATTAACTTGAAAATTAAATTTATAAAAATAATTCTATGTTCAACATAGAAAGAAAAGGGTTTTAAATCTAAGGAGGCAATAAAGAATAGAAACACTCTGTCTCTCCCCCTCACACTTTTAAGTGTCTGTCCATACTATCACTATCTAAGAAGTTTTTTCTTCCTAAAAAAACACTACCATTTGAACATAATAAAAGGTTTCTCTTTCACCAGTCATCACCAAAAATTTTCTAAGAGGATATAAATTGATGGATATGGGATACAATGTCACCTCTGTTGACTCAATGTACTCCAAGAGGGGGGTGAATTGGAGTTCCAAAAATTCTCCCCTTCTTGCTACCACAAAACCAAAAATAAAGAGAGTAGAGAAGAAGAGCTTGCTCAATAATTTTATAGAGGTTCGGTCCAACCACTTGAAACCTAGTTTTCTACCTTGACTTCACTCACCAAGAATTTCCTCCACACTCTCTACTAATAACAACAAGGGTGGCTTAAAGGAGCCACTCAATCCTTTTACAAGAAGATGAGTATTTCTCTCAAACCTCACTCCTTTACAATGTAAACCCCACAAATCCTCTCAATAGATCACTCTTGAAGGAATAATCATACCCCCAAGAACATACACTAATAGAACAAGAAGAGGATTATAAGCAATAATTACTCAAAGATCAAAAACTCAAGTTAAAGCTCAAGTAGGTAGATAAAGATATTCAATGCAATGTTCTCCAAACTTCTTCAGATCTGTTACCAACCATGTTTATAGCCCCTTGCTCGAAAATAACTGTTTCTAGCCGTTGGGGGTCATTGAATGCCTTGCAGGACGCAAAGCTCGAATTGCAGGATTGTCAAGAGAGCTGGCTTATCTTACTAGAGCCGGCTCTATACAGCCGGCTCACCATTTCTGCAGCCAGCTTTGCGAGATTTTGCACAATCTGTTTTCTTCGTAGAGCCAGCTCCAAAATGCAAAGCTGGCTTTACAAGTTTGCTGCATATTCTATTTTCTTCCACAGCCAGCTGCAAAAAACCTAGAGCCGGCTTTGGTATTCTGCCTTTAAAAAATATTAATTATTCTTCAAATAAGTCGACCATTGTGCATTAAATGCGCCTTTACAGCCGGCTGCAAAGTTAGAGCCGGCTCTGTGTCTTTTCTCCCCACACGCCAAACAACGGACCTTTAAATCTTTACCCGTAGAGCCGGCTGCAGCTTCCAAAGCCGACTCTTTGCACTTCCATTTCACTAGAGCCGGCTACAGCTTTTAAGAGCTGGCTCTTTGCATATTTTCAATTCTTTTGGTCTATTTTTAGTGCAGTACCAGTTTACTTGCAATCTTTTAGCAACTTAACTACACACTTAAATAAACCAATTAGTCACTCAAATGTGTTTTGTAAT